ATTTTAACTCATTTGCAACGTATAACATAACGGAAACTACCTTTCCCAACATCTGTCCCCGAAAAAGTCTAGCATGTAAGTCGTGGACTAACGGTATAGTTAGTGGGCAATATTAAGGAAAATGGGAACCTTATTCAGGTATCTTCTTGGAGTATGTGGGCCGAACAGCTCGACCTCGCTTCCTTTTCATAACTCTCTGTCTGAGACAGTTGTATTCTGAGTGAGGTTCTTTATATGTTTTTGCGTAAATCATTCTTAAGCATTCCGTTCTGTTTTTGCCATGTTATGGAGCCAATTTTGATATAAACCTGATGACTATTGTTCTAAAATCTTGTAGCGTAATGGCGGTTGAGAGACCTGTTAAACTTAGAACGCAAAGACCAATTTTATCTAGCATTAATATAGGTGTATCAAATTCAAATACAGTTGGTAATAAACTACAGAACTGATTATCGTTTACTTTGTTTCTCGATAGGACTGATTTGTTGCAACCATCCTATATCCTTAATTATTATAGTCAATTAAAATTCTGACGTGTTTTTAAGAAGTTATAGGCATGATACCACGGGTTACACAAACAGCTAGTTAAATATAATTTAATAATTTAATAACAGCAATTAAGTAACAAAATCAAAATTTGTAGGTAATTTGAGCACGCAAAGAGTTTGCTATACAGTGTCGAGCTGAGCTCAAATACACTGAATGTCGGAGATCTGAGAAATGTTAGTCAAAATAATAATACATTACAAGGATTCATCTATTAAATGAAAGAATATTGTTGCTTCATCAGTTAGTCGTTCAATTATAAGAATTGATGTGATGAGTTATTTTTTTTATGAAATCTGCCCCATGGAAAACAATTCTGAGTGACCGCTGCAGACAAGATTATATACCGAAATACTGTGCATCTGTTTGAACTCTTGCGTTAAACATGTCTGTGATAAAGTAATCGGGAGTAATCTCCCTTGTTTTATGATTACCTCCCTTTGGAGAACTCTTTCATTGGGAGAGTAATATAAATTGTCACCTCGCTGGAATCAATTACTATAAGCAAAATAAAGCTTCCTTAAGCCTACTCTTGCTCTCTATTTTTATTATAATGTCTACATTTTTACTCAATTTTAAACCAGGTCAATGTATACTTGTTTTATTCTAGTTTAAAACAAACCAATGCCGGCTTTTGTTTAATCTATTGCAAACTGGATCTGTGTCTACGATTTCGATTTTATTGTAAACCGTATCTACGCTTACTTTTTTGACTCTGAAATGAAAAGGAGAGATTTTTACCTGTATACATTTCTTTTCTACATTTTTTATACTTGTGTAAACCAAGCCAGTACTTAACTTTTTGTTAGTGTAAACCAGGTTGTAAGTTACGTCTATCTTCCTTAATATATTGTAAACTGAACCTGTATCGACTTGTTGACCTTATGTATACCTTTTTTTACTCACTGAGCCGAAAAGTATACATAAGGTCAAAGCTAGACTCATTGAGAAAGCAAATCGTGAATTAGAGATTTTTTTCTGGAAAGTTCACACTTGGGTCAAACGTAGTAAGGAGATAGATAAGTAGAGTTAATTGCAATTATGGAAAGAAAGAGAAACTGCCCTTAGTGTCAAGCTCAGCGGTAGGAATCCAGCTACTGAATGAATAAAGAAACGGGCTGATGCATTCGTTACAGTTGATACGAATCATTACTGCAAAACAGTGAAAGTCTTTAGATGATACATGGTAGTTCCTACAGTTTAGTCCAGTCAATTAGTTAGTCAAAGATCTGTTCAAAGTGCGTTCCCAGAGTGACAAGCAGAAAGAGCGCAAGATGATTGCTAGCCAAGAGATACTGGTGCTTTTTTATATATTGTTCATCCAATGCAAATATCTTTTCACATTCCGAATTTCTTTTTCTTAACTACATCGTCAATATTCATATTCAATTTGCCAAGTACTCTTTCATCTTAATTTCATTTGTTTTTTATCGTTATCCACAGATCATCATTAATTGAGCGTTAGTAGCGGATGTGGATCAGAAAGGAGTAAATTCTATGGTGAGATCAGAGATAACATCCCTTTTGATCTGACAATAAATATTGAAATAATATTGCTACTAATATTTATTAGTGTATGAGGACGTTAAACAAACATAATAGTGCATCAGGCCTTTTAGAAAAAAAAATAATGAGGGTTGCATTTGAGCCTCTTGAATCGATAGCTACCGTGGGATCTAACCGGCAAGTTTTTGAGGTAAATGATTTGGCATTCATCGGAGATTTGTTCATTAGTTCCGAACCGTAACATGTCGATCTAGGAATTTCGACAAAAGTGACAGAAATAGGACGGTAGAAATATTAGCCAAAATAATAATAATTAACAATGTTTAATCTAAGAATAAAAATTCAAAGTATATCGTGACTTCTTCAGTAGCCCTTTCATTTATAAGAATTGGCAAAAGGAAGTGCTTTTAAAAAATCTGTTCCCTCGGTGGCATTAACAATACGCCGGCTACAGCCTATGCAAAGAACAACATCCCAAAATCGGGCCAATTTCTGTCTGTATTTTTGGCTCTCGTGAAAATCGTTAATTCGTTTACCTTTTTTTGACCTAAATTTGAATCGCATCTTTGTCTTTTTGGCTCGAGTTTAAATCGAACTAATGTCGACCTTAGTAGTTCAAGTATAAACCGGAACTATTCGTAACTTTTTGATGAATTGTAAACGAGATCTCTGTCTTTGATTTTTTGTGAATTAATTTTAAGACTAACTTTTCATCAACTTCTTGAATCGATTGTAAATCTGGCATGAGTCCAGCTTTTCGACTTAATTGTAAATCGGACCTTTTTACTCTAGACAAAGCTGTGCCTCTGTGTACCATTTTGAAGTGAGTTTGAATTGGAATTATGCACACGTTTTTAAATCTAGTTTTGACGTTTTATATTGATTTAAATCAAAGGACTATCTATTTTTTAACACAATTGTAAGTCGGACATATGTCTACCTTTTAAACTCAAGTTTCGACCATTTTTATTATTTTAAACCGGGCGTATGTCTACCTTTTTGACACAATCCTAAAAGGAAAGCATGTCTAACTTTTTGATTAAATTTTAAACCATAGAAATGTCCGTCTATTAATTAATTGTAAATGGAATCTGTCCTTACCTTTTGGACGATTCATTGTTATTTTGTCCCGTGGCTCTTCTGTTAGATATTAAACAACACAAGAAAAGTCAAAGTTTCGTTAAAACCACTAACTTAACGTTTTAATAACTCAATGAAGCTCTAGAAATAAGTTTAATATATTTCGTGTCAGTTTCTGCTGCACAGAAGAAAAACACACAATGTATACAATGAATAAATAAAGCAATAAGTAAACCAGTAAAAACAATTCAAATATTTTCTAATTTTTCTAAAAGCTTCGAAAATATTTCGCTAACACATTCTACATGGCAATAATGCAATACATATTAGCCGACCGAAAACTGTCTTCTGTCGTCAGAGGACATTACAGTCGTTTTATTTTCATTACGTTCATACCAAAAACTTGACTTTTGATTGCGTTTTGACAGCAGATATTTCAGTGTGATTAATACGACTGACGTTCAAAAGTAATGTCCGTTTAGTTTATTTACAACAGATTTAATAGTAGAAGCAAACAAAACATATCAAAATGAATACAAATGTCTCAGGATTCCAAATCTAGCCCTTGACATAGTCTCCAATCATGGAATTCAACCCTTGAATGATGACATGTATACCCTCCTTGGTGAAACTTCTTACCAGCTGTCTTAACCATGTGTGAGCTAGCCATTTCAACTGAACGTCAACCGAGAACTATTGTTTCTGAGTACTTTCCGTTTTAATCAGATCAGACTAAAAATGTATTGCTGCTATATCTGGGCTGGACCTCAATTTCCAGTTTGGATAAGAACACAAATGTGTTTACGTGGCCTTGTAGGTGATTCATTTTTCTCAACCCGACAACAATTTTCGCACAGGCGAATTGTTGCTAGCCTCTCGCTACACTATCGTTATTTTCATGGCAAATGATCTGAGGAGCGGCATTTCTTAGTTCTACCAGCTGAAACCTTCTCAGCTAGGCCCACCATGCAAAGTACAGAACGTTGACTCATCCTCACTACTTTCGTATTCCATTGGTAAGAAGGAACTTCTGCTTAGACAGCTTCTTCCTCAGAACTGTTACTTTGTGGAAGACCTCTAAGATTTTAACGTCTTGCCAACTGATCAACCGTTATCTATTCCACATATCCGCTTAATATTCCCTTCTTGCTTCCTCCTATTACGCTGTAGTAGACCTAACTTGAGTGGCTCTTGGGCCTTGTATTGAATAAGCAATATATAAAAAAGCACCAATATCACTTGGCCAGGGGAGATTTTGTGATCTTTCTGTTCGTCATGCTGTGAACGCACAGATCTTTGAGTAACTAAATGATTGGGCTAAACTTTGACTGTTTTGCAGCAATGATTTTTGTCAACACATGCATCATCCTGTTTCCCCATTCATAACAGTAGCAGGACTGCCACTGCTGAGCCAGTCACTAGGGTTAATTTCTCTTTCTTTCCATGATTGCAATTATTTCTACTTACCTATCTCCTTACTACTCTTTAACCAAGTTTCCGTCAATGTTTCCAGAAATAAAATTCCCTAATTCTAGATTCGCCTTCTCAATGAGTTCAGAACTATTGCCATTTCGGAAGAGGATTATGGGTAAGAAATCAGAAGAATTTCAATAAGGACGGGACTGTCGTAAACTACAGGCACTACAATGACACACCCGAAAGTTTTGATAGAATTTTGCAATCAAGAAACTTCTGTAGACACGACCAGGAGCAACCAACTATTTAATTTTTCTTCCACATTTCATGTTGAAGCACTGATTCTCGTACGCTCACCAACGTTAAGCAACGTCAGTCCTGGTCAATATCTAGATGTGTGACCGTTTGGGAATATCATCTGCTGCAAGCTTGGATATGCGAGTGGTATGGGTTATGGCCATATAACTATGAAACCCCTGTTCTCGTACAATCACCGATGTTAAGCAACATCGAGCCTAGTCAATACCTAGATGGGTATCCGCTTGGGAATATCAGGTAAGCGTGGATGTGCAGGTGGTATGGCATACGGCCATATTAGGATTTAACACCGGTTCTCTTACGATCACCTAAGTTAAGCAACGTTGAGCATGGTCAGTACTTAGATTAGCTTAGGAATATCAATTGCTGTACGCTTGGATATGCGGTTGGTATGTTTTACGCCTACATCACGATGAAACATCGTTTCTCGTACGATCACCAAAGTTAAGCGACGTCGAGCCTGGTCAGTATCTAGATGGGTGTCCACTTGGGAATATCAAGTTTGGATGTTCGGATGGTGTAATGGATAATGGCTTGGAATTTGAGATCGGATAGATGAATTTCAATTCCAGTCGAGTTCTTTATATTCACTCTTGGGCAAATATCCTTAGAAAAGTTATAAATATCCCTCTTCTCCTCTCAGCTATGGATTAATTAGTAAGACTTCTATCAGGAAGTCATTATTTCAAAAAAAAAATCTTACAATCTAAAAATATTTTATGGCTTTAAAAAGCCTACAAAAGGTTGATAAGCCGTAAAAATCAAATTAATCAACCAATCACCATTTCATTTTAAACATTTAAATAAAATGATATTTCAAGTCAGTCATGCAGACGAGGCATCTGCTCGTCGTAAAAGTTAGTCTGATCTTAGAGATTATACCTAATCGTGACTATTCTTTTTAAAATTAAATTAGAACATAAATTATTATTTAATTTGGGAAAATTGCAAATTATTTTTGCTTAATAATTGCAGTTACTTTTACTATAGATCCACAATACAAGGCCCAAGAGCCACTCAATTAAAGGGCATATAGAGAAGGATGCATATTATGTGGATATGTAGGATAGATAATGGTTGACCCTCAACTTGAAAAGGTTAAGATTGTAGTGTTCAGGGAAGAATCCTCTTATGAGTCTGTTCCATAATGCAATGTCGAGTGGAACTTCCTCCTTACCAATGGAATATGAAGGGAATGAGGATGAATAGATCCAGCGTACGAAGCCTGGATTGTAACAGTGTAAATGGAAGAAAATAGCCTGGAAGTACACAAATGCTCTTGGTAAGGACTTAAATCTATCTTATCTAACCCACCATGCATAGATTAAATAGCAAGGTAGACTGCGTTCTCTAACTATGAGTATCAGAAAGTTTAAAAGATAGAAAACCGTGGTGCATGCATCAAGAAGCCGTTCCGCTATAGTTCCAGATAATAAAGAAAAGGAAAATGTGGAGAGCCATGTTCGCCTAAGTCTTGAAGTGCACAGAGCGTTTAATTTTTTTATTTCAGGAAAGGTAAAAATGTAAACAGAAAAAAAATAAAGCCTCTGCTGTCTTTTCAGGAAGAATTGTCTCAAACGTGTATTTTTGTTTCTCATTGAATGAAGTTCCTTTGGTTTGATAAATCAGTTGTGGATGAAAGTCAAATATTTGAACTTTTTAGCTGAGAATAATCAACGTTGCACAGCACTTTTTATAAGAAGGGCGTTCCTCTCAGAAGGCTTCTTCTAGAGAACCAGTACTTTGTGGAACAGACTCCTGCATGAATGCTTTCCATAATACTACAATCTTAACCTTGTCTATACGGTCAATCTATATGTATCTGCCATATCCTCATAATCTTCACTTCTTACTTTCTCCGCTTACGTTCAAATAGCACTTCATTCAGTAACACTCTACCTTGAAAGACTCTTATGCATTGTATAGGGGGAAATTTGGTAAAATAAATAAAGGAGACAAGCAAGATATACAAATTAATCACTGGAAATACTTTGTACCAACTTGGAAGTGTTAACAACTTTAATGTGTAGCTTCCATATAATTTAAGCGATACAAATCGAAACAAATTTCGATCGATGTAAAGTGGATAATTTAAAACAATATGGAAGGCAGCAAAAGTTACTAAAATTAGCGATGATTAGTCGTGATAGCCCCGTGATAATCAACTTGAAAATATTAGCAAAACCCAAGAAAATAGCAGATTAACTATCACTCTACAGCAGGCGCCATATGTCCCTGTGTGTATTTGGGTGGTGGCAAGTGTTTTCAGAAGTGACATCTGAAAGGAAGCATTTTGTAGGAAACTTTTAGAAGAGCCTGAAATGAGAGCCACTTAAAATCACTCAGCTTTAGTTTTTCTCTGTGAATTTTACCCCATGAGGCTCAAGTTTTAAGAGTAGGATCATCATGAAAGTTAAGCCGTGCTCAAAACTAATCTAATTTGAGCCGAGTTCAAGGGAGACTGAGAAGATCAATGAAAAAAATAGAGCATTCGGTTATGTTGGAATTAAAATTAGATCTTAACGAAAATCAAACAGCGAGTTATAGAGACAGACAGATAGATACAAATAGACTGTATATATATATATATATATATATATATATATATATATATATATAGATAGATAGATAGATAGATAGATAGATGCATAGATAGATAGAGAATGATAGATAGACTGCGCATGTATTATAGAGAAATAGAAAGAATGAACGTGTAAACTTTCAACGTATGTAATATCGAAAACGGAATAAGGTCACATTTTTGAAGTAGCGAGTAAGTACTCTGTTCACTAAAGCTGCTATATTAAGTCGGTACGCAGCTCGCTGCATTTCCCTACAGCTGCTTCGTAATAGTGTGACCGTAGCTTACGCGGTCAGTTAGTTCCCAATTATTTTGTATTTATAATACGAAATTAAAAAAAAACTCACATGTTTAAGACTGTTGATATATTGGAAGCGGTATAAAATATGATTCTTTTGAAGCTGAAGTTTGAGGATTATTAAACGTGGGGTGTGGCTTCATAACTGCCGATTTCTTTGAAAAGAAAAATATAAAGCATAGAGACTGATTCTTATTTGTAGCGAAACGAAAAAAAAAAACTGTTGCAGTTTCTCTAATTCAGTTGTGGTTCCATGATTGACATGTTGGCTGTATTCCATCGAATTACTTGATCTTATCATTAAGAAATTGAATCTGGCGAAAAAACTTGCATGAAATTCTCCGATATCCACGATTAAATATGGGCTTTTGATACTGTTTCTCTGTGTAAATTCCTCAGTTATTTCAAGTCTTTTTCAGGATGGAATTCTTGATGCCATTCGATGTTTTGTTTGATCCGCCAAGCAAACTCGCCTTCAGTTCCCCCAATGATTCTAGGGAAGCATTTGTAGTCGCTGGGTGTCTCATCCATAATTCTTTCTTTCAGTCATTGACTTTATCAGGCTTTATGATAAGAGCGGAATCAGCAATAATCTCAATTACAACAATCGCTGTTTTATAAATTTCTGATGATGCAATACGGGTTTGCATCAAGTGCAGCGTGAAAGCAGGTAAAGGTAAGCCAAGTGTTCATCACCTTCACACACTTCAATATATCTTCAAGTGGCTGCAGTGAATTTTTTTCTGGCCCGAAAAGCACTTCAAATTGTTCATCTTCAAACAGGGATGTTTGGATATTTGAAATGTCCAAAAACATTGTCAATCATTAGAAGGATCTTAAATAACATCCGATTCGTTTTAGCCATTTCACGTCAGCTCTAAAATAGTTGTAGATAGAATGAACAGCATTACTTTGTTCCGTCAGTCCTTTACGATTAGGACCCGCCAAAACCACTCACATTTCCTCTGTGTTCCATTGAACCACTGCTTCTTGATCACTATAATCATCACCTATTCATGTCTAGGTCTAACCGTTATCTTCCCATCTTATCCGTATAAACTGCCTCTTAATGTAACCCTCTACTTCGAGTGTCTTCCAGGCCTTGTACAGAGCGACCCTCACTTAAAAAAAAAAACGTCTGAAAACATGGGGCCTGTTCTCACTCACGAATGTAGGTCCAATTCAGCCTTTTCCTATAGAAAATGTCTGTTTTATCACAGCTGAGAACGTACTCTTGATACTAACTATTTTTTCTCAATTCCTTTTTGAAGTGTTCTGGAAACTCCGTTACTATATCAGACGACGCCTATTCTCCCATTATCTTCAGGGCTTTGAGTTAGTAACACTTTCGCGGTTGCTGGGTAAATTTTGACCAATGTCCGGGTGAAAACGCTCGGGTTCTCCACAATAATTCCGACCTTGTGACGCAATTATTCTCAGTTGATGATCTGAGTAAATACCAGTCGTATTGGAGTCTGTTTTCATACTATAAAACAATCCTGACCTAAACCGTAAAATACAAAGCAATCAATGGACCTGAACCATGTCTTTTACCTGCGCATTTAAAGCTTTATCAAGAAACTGAGACATCATTTTTGCCATTGTAATTGAAACCTTTAATATCGTATATGGTCACCCGTACTTACAAAACTGGGAACTTTTATGCATATAAAAAAATAAAATAAGAATTCCTTTAAACATAATGGTGTTTGCTGATTTGTATTAGGATTATCCATTAATGATTAGTAAATATAGTTTTACTTAATAATAATGTCATCTAAAAGGTTGTAATTAATACAGTATTTTAAAAGATTTAAAACTTTATAAATTTTTCCTATTTAAAATGAAAAAAATGAAAACAAATCTTGTAAAAATTCATTATTCATCGAAATGTATTTTTTTCTTAAGTGTCTTGAACATATCTTATTTATAAAAGCAATTAAAAGCTTTTCTAATTAAATAATGTCATTTCATTTTTTTTATTTTACGATTATTTAAATTCTCCAAGGAGTCTTGTTTTTAACCAACGTAAAAATGAAAAGGCTGGAATGTTAATTTCTGGAAATTTCATGAAATTAAGTAGGTGTGGGTAACTACAATAAAAAAAAGAAAATTAAAAAATAATTTAATTCATTTGTGAATGTCCTGAAAATTTCATTAAAATCGGACAGGTATTTTTTTCAAGAAATTTCAAAACAATGTTTTTTTGCAAAATAAGTTGCTAAATTTTCTAATACTAATCTTTGCCCCCTACACCCACCCCCCCAAACATTTCGAACATTTTAGAAAGGATTAAATAATTAATAAAACAGTCAAAAATATTTTCATCTTTCCTTTTAATAATAACATAAACATTTTGACGATAAAAACTTTGTTTTTACCAAGTTAGGCGTCTTCTTTTATCATGGTATGCACTTTTTAGCGAATTTTTAGAGTTAACTAGTTTAAAAGGTAATACTAGGAATTGTACATATTTTGTTAATTTTTAAGAAAAATGTTCATAACTGCACTATTGCGGGCCCTCTGCACACACACATACACACACACACATATATATATATATATATATATATATATATATATATATATATATATATATATATATATATTTTCGTAGGATAA